AGCACTCAACAAGTTAAAAAATAACCGACAACGGACAAGCCATTGCCTGCCGCAGGCAGGCTAGCGCCGCAGGCCAAGGTAGGTACGCCAGGCGTGGATTGGAGGAACAGGCAGCGAGACATCGCGAAGCCTGTTACGACAAGACGCGGTCTGGCGTAAACCTACCTTGTAACCTTGTGAGTACATTGAGTACCGGCTAATTTGTACACATGAGTACACTAGTGATTCACCCCTCGGTCCTGGTCCATCATGTGCCCCAAGCGGAGCTCCTGGTCGCCTGCCCCCTTCCACCCCTCCCCGCCCTGCCCCTCCCCAATTGCTAGCTTCCCCAGCTCCTTCCTCTTCTGGCTCTTCCGTGCAAATCCTTGGGGCTTATCTCCCACCTGTTACTACTCCTAGCCCTGCAGTCTCTCCAGCCTCAGCTTCCCCCCCCCCCCCCCGGGCTTGCCCCTCCACCCCTGACCTAAGTGCCCATGACAATTATTGCGAAATCTTTGACCCCTCAAACCCTTGCTTTTGCTTTGACGTATGGGAGCATCCCGATCCCCGAGAGGCCCTGTTTGCTGAGAAGGAAGAAGCCCTGCGTGAGCATTACGCAGAACTTGAGATGGAGTATGCACTGTCAGAAATTTTGTCGTAAATTAGCGACAAAAACTTCGATAATTTTGATAGCGACAGAAATCGAGCAGAAACTACTTCGTCGTAACTGAACGACTAAAAAATCGTTTCTCTAATGTCGAATTCGCGATTACATATTTTGAAATCTGAAATCCCCGAAAAGTTGATGAAAAGTTGCAATTTTGCTCGCTTATTTACGATTTGTGTCGTTCATTTACGATTCATTGCACAAATTTACGACAAGATTCGTAAATGTACGACTGAAGTCATGACTGCACAACATATTCCAAAGATAAATTACGACCGTTCGTAAACTTACGATTAAGTTGTAAATTTACGACTTCATTCGTTTCAAAACGGAACGTCTCGCTATCAAAATTAGCGGCAAATATGTCGTAAATTTACGACTCAAGTCGTATATTTACGACTTGAGTCGTAATAAAATACGTCGTTTAAAAACGACATAATTATTTTACAAAATGTCGTAAATTTACGATTATTTTTAACAGTGTGTCTACGAGCAATTCTGTATTGAGGTGGAACTGGCAGACGACTATCCCCAAATGCCCTGGTGGGTTTAATTGTTCCTGCTAAAATAAAATAAATTATTGTTGGCTGAGCGATAGCGAAGCCTGATACTCCATTGGGGTTGAAAAGTTTTTCCTGTCTGTCTGTCTGTCTGTGTGTGTGTGTGTCTGTCCGCACTACTCCTCCTGAACGGCTCGGCCGATCTCGGTGAGATTTTGCACACTTTTTGGGCATGTCCTTGGCTCGACACACGCGAAATTTCACTATCCTAGCTCAACTGGTTCAGTTTTTATAGCCGAAAAACACCTAAAAAACGGCGAAAAATCGAGTTTTCTGCAGGCAGATCACTTCTGTCTTGAAAAAGGGGGGGTCTGGGGGGCGGAGCCCCCCAGCCTCGACAAGTTGAAAAGTTACAAGGGATCTAGAATGAAGGGGGGACTGGGGGGCCCCCAGCATGCACCAAGTTAGAAGTAACCGACGATGGACAAGCCATTGCCTGCCGAAGGCAGGCTAGCGCCGCAGGCCAAGGTAGGTACGCCAGGCGCGGATTGGAGGAACAGGCAGCGAGACATCGCGAAGCCTGTTACGACAAGACGCGGTCTGGCGTAAACCTACCTTGTTTAACACACCTTGTTAAACCTTGTTTAACACAAGGTAGGTTTACGCCAGACCGCGTCTTGTCGTAACAGGCTTCGCGATGTCTCGCTGCCTGTTCCTCCAATCCGCGCCTGGCGTACCTACCTTGGCCTGCGGCGCTAGCCTGCCTTCGGCAGGCAATTGTTTGTCCATCGTCGGTTACTTCTAACCTTCATTCTAGATCCCTTGTAACTTTTTAACTTGTCGGGGCTGGGGGGCTCTGCCCCCCCAGACCCCCCTTCTTCAAGACAGAAGTGATCTGCCTGCAGAAAACTCGATTTTTCGCCGTTTTTTAGGTGTTTTTCGGCTATAAAAACTGAACCAGTTGAGCTAGGATAGTGAAATTTCGCGTGTGCCGAGCCAAGGACATGCCCAAAAAGTGTGCAAAATCTCACCGAGATCGGCCGAGCCGTTCAGGAGGAGTAGTGCGGACAGACACACACACACACACACAGACAGACAGACAGGAAAAACTTTTCAACCCCAATGGAGTAACAGGCTTCGCTATCGCTCAGCCAATTATGCCTTGGTTGTTGATTGTTTACAGTTTCCTCGTTGATGCTTCTTGCCGCCCTCTGAGTTTGCGCTTGAGATACTCTGTTGTCCTTCCTCTTCGTTCCTGTTGAGGTAGTCATTGTCCGTAGGAGTACTCCATGGAAAGCGGAAGGTGGTGCGCAGGGATGCAGGAAGCGCAGAGCAATAGCAAAAGCAACAGCCGAAGAGAGAAGGAAGCATTAGTATCATGACCTGCATCTTAGCCCTGCCAAACATAGTTGCCCCCCACAGAACACGTTTGGCACTTGGCTAGGAGGCAGGCATATTTACTAAAGGCAAGGCAAAAGCACGAGCATCACACTGCATGCTGCCCCCATCCCCAGGGAAGAGCGCTAGGAGCTACTGCCACGATGGCAGGACCCCGTCAGTCCTACCACCGCCTTCCCCCAGCATTCACCAAAAGCCCTTCCCTTAATTTTTGAAAAGTTTTGCTGTCTGTTTTTTTGGGGGTTGTTGTTAATACTTTTTTCCCTAAGGTGGGGTTTCTGGTGAGTTTTCCACCCTTAGGAGGTTTTTTTGACCCCCAAAATGGGCCCCTTCAACCCACCAAATTTTGGGAAAAAACCCTTAAAAAAGGGCTAAAAAAAGAAATTTTTTGGTTTTTAATTTTTGGCAAGTTTACCGCTTAAGGGGGGGGGGGGGTTGGTAAATTTAAAAAGTTTAAAAATCTTCTTTACTAAATCCAAAATTTTAAAAAGGTTTTTACCCAACCCTGCCTTGCCCTAACAGGTTTGGCGATGCCGGCCCCCGTTCCCCCAAATGGGGTTTAAAATTTTGGCCTGGGGGGCCTGCCTGCCTGCGGCGGTGGTTGTTGTGGTTTTTTTAACTTTTGAAGGGGGGGCTCCCCCCCGACCCCCTAATTTTGAGGGTTTTTTAAAGGAAAAATGTTTTTGGGCCCGCACAACCCCCAAAATCCCCCCCACCCCCTTTCCCAAAAATTTTTCAAAATCCTTTTTCGGTTTTTTGGGGCCAAAAAATTTAAAAACGACAAAAAAGGGAAATTTTTTGGACCAAAACTTTTGTAAAAATTCCCCCAAAGGAAGGGGGGCCTTGGGGGTTTCCGGCCCCCCCCCCGACAGAAAAAAGACAAAGGATCAACTTTTCAAATGGAATTTCCTACCCTAGAATGAAAGGGGGTCTGGGGGGCAGAGACCCCCAGTATGCAACAAGTAAGAAGTAACCGACGATTGACAAGCCATTGCCTGCCGAAGGCAGGCTAGCGCCGCAGGCTAAGGTAGGTACGCCAGGCGCGGATTGGAGGAACAGGCCGCGAGATATCGCGAAGCCTGTTACGACAAGACGCGGTCTGGCGTAAACCTACCTTGTAGTCTACGGATCCTACTGTGTTTTGTCTGCGACTGCAGCGCTCCGGTGTTGAACCCAATAAACTAACTTTGCCTCGGTCACTGTGGTAAGCTCTCGAACTGATCACATCTATTTATTTACCCTGTCCTTTGCACCGCAACATAACTGCTATTACTTGAAGAAATAGACACGGCACACTCATAACTTTACAACAAGAAAGACTTCCTGCGTTCCTGGTTGAGACATACATGGAACATGTCTTACTTGGAACTTATTCTTTGATGACTTACCGACAAATATTAGTGAGGATTTCGACAGACAAAAAGTTTGAACCATGGGCAAGAATTTCTCTGTTAAAATTTTTTTAAATATGAAAATTTGTAACTTGAAAGGAGTTGAATGTGAAAATTTTGTCACTAAATTCTCTTATTTACATCTTGAAGATAACCCCCAAAAAATTTTTAATCTCTCCGTTCCAATGAAAGACAAAGGAAGATTTTTTCCCACCACTATCAAAAACACTGAAGTGCGTCTTATCTCAGAAAGCGTTCATTAATTTAGATTAAATTTCATTTTGGGAACTTGCCATTTCTTACCTAATTTTCGACTATTTAAGTTTTTTTTAAAGGGGAGGTTCTGGTGAAAATGCTATTTTCTCCTAAATAGGTCCCACTGTGAAAATTTGTTAAAAATTTGATGTCTTATCAAGTATTTATTAAATTTTTTCATTGGGGAGGCACATTCTATGCCCTGAACCCAGTTGCAGAGCCATTTTCTCCCATTTAGGCTATAACTTTAAAAATCCTCTTGCGCATACTATTTTGTCGTAAAAGGTTGGCTTAGACATTTTTCACTTCTTCGATTCATTTTTTAAAAATGCCGGCATGCACACCTCAAAATGACAATTGCATTTTTATTCGCAAGCTTTCTAACCAAGCACTTCACTATAATTGATCAAAAATGTGCAAAATAGACAAATTTTAGGGACTTTTCAGCTTAAAAAGTTAATAATTAATAATATGGAAGTTTTGAGCTACGCATGCCGGAATCTTTTGAAAATGAATCGAAGAAGTGAAAAATGTCAAGGTCAACCTTTTACGGCAAGGAGATTTTTTAAGATACTGCCAAAATAGGCTCAAAAAGACTCTTCGACTGGGTTACAGCCTGGCATGTGCCTTCAAAAGTCAAATTTTAGTCTCCTCAATAAAAAATTTTATATTCCGAACAATGGTGACTGTGGGATCCATTTGGAAAATGGCAAGATTTTCACCAGAACCTCCCCTTAAAGCCTTCTTGCAAGTTTCACCAGGGTCCCCCCTTAAAATGTCGTTCCCAGGGTAAAATGAACATCACACAAGCATTGGAGCATTAATTTTAATACGACGCCTGGTAAAAAAAAAATTTCACTGAATACAAGGAATCAAAAATTACATTCGGCCATTGTGGCCCACTACAAGAGCAACCCGCACTACACCGCGCCAGTGAAGATATCCAGAGATAGCAGTGGGCGACAGGGAAAGCTGACCATCGGATTGCTAGCCTAAACCACGCGGTCACACGCGCCACAGAGCATGACGGGGCGTGGGTTACTCTCAGCGAACACTTCGCAGAGATGTTTCATCTGCGCGCTGCAGCTCTCCTTGTCGTGGCGGCAGGCCCCGTCGTACGCATCGTGTCGCAGCAGCGCCAGACGCTTCAGCTTCTTGAGGCCGCAGCTCCGCAGCTGCCGCGCCAGGTCGGGGCAGCCGTAGGGCTCCGTCGAGGCGGCCACCAACTGCAGCTCTTCCAGCGAGTCCGCGTGCGCGCGCACCAAGTCCAGCGCCGCCACCAGCGGGTGCACGCCGCAGCGCAGCCAGCGCAGCGAGCCCGGCCTCGCGGGAGTCGCGAGGGGAGCGAACATCGTCAGCGGGGCGTCGAACGGGCAGTGCACCTCCAGGCGCTGGAGCGACGCCAACTGCATCACCTGCAGGTTTTACACCGGTCAGGGGAGTCATGGAAAAGTCAGGGCAAATAAATGGGGCACTGGAAGTCAGGGAAATTCGATTTTGGTCAGGGAAACTTTGAATACACTCTCAGCAGGGTTGCCACAAATATGAAATTTTCATTTTCCCTGACTTCCAGACAAATATTTTATGTATTTCCCTGACTTTTTCGAATACTTTTTCCAACAGTTGGAAGTGATGAGTTAAGTGATGAGTGATAAGTGATGAGTTAAGGCCAGGGACAGGTGAAAAAATGAAGAAGTTTGGTGAAATTGAATGAAATGAGTTCCGGGTGGAAAATGGTCCTTTGGACCTTCCTCTTTCAGGATCTGTCGGGACTTCGACTATCCGGGACCTGGAAGTGCTTAAAATACATCTTTTCACACACTCCTGCATTTACGACACTTTAGTAAAATTGTCCGTTTTGCCATCAAGGGGGGGGGGGGGGGGGTCTAGCGAAAATCTTGCCATTTTCAAAATGAACCCCACTGTCATAATTTTTTGGGAATATGAAATCATATTTCAAAGAGACTAAGATTTGATTTTTGAAGGCATATGCTAGGTCTTGAACCCAGTCGAATTGTCTTTTTTGGACTGTTTTGGCTTTATTTAGCCGTATCTTGAACAATCCTCTTGCGCATACTATTTTGACGAAAAAGGCTTATCTTCACATTTTGCACTTCTTCGATTCTTTTTAAAAAGATTCCAGCATGCCTAGTTCAAAATTTCCATTATATTAGTAATCACATGCTTTTTTCATCTAAGAAGTCACTAAAACTTGTCTATTTTGTACATTGTTGATCAATTTAAGTGAAATGCATGCTTTAGAAGCTTGCCAATGATAATGTAATGGACATTTTCAGTTGTGCATGCTGGGATCTTTTAAAAATGAATCGAAGAAGTGAAAAATATCCAGGTCAACCTTTTACGACAAAATAGTATGCGCAAGGAGATTTTTTTGGCTGAAAATCCATTAAAATCTGTCACCAAATTTTTAAACGCCCTTTTCTCCGAAGACATTTTTTTAACATTTGAATGGTCCTGTGCGCATACAGTTTGAAGTGTCGTCAATGATATTTTTTCCACTGACTCAGTAGGTTATTGCGAGGAAACGCAAGTGACAGTTTTTGTATATTCCACCCAGAAGTATGGTTTTGGATATCGGTTTTTACAAAAAAAGGGAAAATCTTTGGTTTTTGAAAAATATCAAAATTGAAAAGTTGGTATTTTGCTATCAGTGCCGGAAACTAAAATCTGTCACTTGCGTTTGTTCTTTGGACTTAGACGAACAAAAAAATATGTCGGTCAGGTCAATAACCCAAAATGGGAAACGCACAGGAATTTTTTAACAAACACTTAAAAAATTATAAAAAAAACCTGTATCTCAGGAACCGCTTGATATTATGGGATGGGATTTTGGGTGAAATAGTTTATCATCAAGAGTAAGATTTTGACAGAAAATAAGAAGTTTTGGACCAGCAGTTTCTGAGATCATTTTTTCACCTGTCCCTGGCCTTAATTGGACGAAATAGGTGTCTACGGTCGTTTGTGCCACTTACTTCCGTTTTTCCCTATGACTTAGTTTCATTTTCCCTGACTTTTCCCTGACCATTTTCAAATTTACTGACTTTTCCAGGTTTTCAAGGTTTTCCAGACTTGTGGCAACCCTGCTCAGACTCGTATTGACTTTTTTCTCACCATTATTGACTTTTTGTCTTTAGAGTACGCAGTTTTTTAAGCAGCAATAATATGTCATATTTCCTTTGTAACCATGTACAATATTGTTCACGATAAACACTGAAGTGACATCAATTATTGACTATTTTTTAAGTCAGTTGCGTATTGACTCTTTGCCAATAGCCCATTGACTTAAAATCAATAAAACGAACAAAATCTCACATGGATATTGATGAAATAGAACTTTTTATTGCTGTGTAAAAAACTCTTTAACAAAGGACTAAAAGTCAATAGCAGTCTGAGAGTGTTGTTGGTCAAAGTATGGGTTATGAACGCCGACAGTAAAACTCTACGAAGAGTCGCTTCGTAATACGAAGAAAATGGAGGCACTGTAAAATCTAAGAAGGAATGCTTCGTATTATGAAGCAAAGTCCTTCGTAATACGAAGCATTTCTTCATAAAAGGAAGCAATTCTTCAACGCCTTCATTTTCTTTGTAGCTATGAGGCAAACGCTTCGTAGGCTTTTGAGAGTGCGCACGTGTGGACGGCGCATGCACTTGAATCTAAAAGTGCACATACATTTTGAAATGTCAGGGAAAATTGGTCGATTTTACATTGTTTGTCAGGAAAAGCGAAAACAGGGTATCTGGTGCGAGCCCTGACCTGCTGCAGCTGCGGACTCGTGACGTTGGTGATGCTCAGGGCCTGCAGGCGCGGCATCGCCAGGGCCGCCTCCAGGTGCTGCTGCTGGGGCGACACCAAGTGCAGGCCGCGCAGGCCCCGGTCGTTGGTCGAGTAGCCCGAGTACACGGGCGCGGTGCGGGCCGCGCACAGTTGCAGCACTGTCAGGCTTACAGTCGGCGACGCAGTGCACTGAAGGCCGACTGCCTGGTGAACAAAACACTGTTAACGTCTTACGGCACACTCTTAAAAGCCTACGAAGGATTTGCTTCGCAACTACGAAGAAAATGAAGGCGTTGTAGAATTGTTTCGTGTTATGAAGAAATGCTTCGTATTACGAAGGATTTTGCTTCATAATACGAACCATTTCTTCGTAGATTTTACAATGCCTTCACTTTCTTCGTATTAAGATGCGACTCTTCAAAGAGTTTTTACTGTGTGGATGAACCCGACTGATGCCCGGTCACATGAAATCCACCACGAAGAACAATCCTTACCTGCTCAAAACTTTGTTTTCTGACCACTTCTCCCGCCTCCTTGCTGGAACTTACAGAGGCCATATCGTAAGTTCCTCCTAGTGTCTCAAGGTAGGGCACCTAAAAAAAAGGTCACTGCATGAACATTGAACACTTTGAACACTCAACGATTTGGTGCGTGAACCTCACGGGCGTTCTTAAGCGCCACTCCGGCCACTGTACCACAATATGCCTACACTCTGAGAAAAAATGACGGTAAATCCTGGATAATTTTTTTGCCAAACTTTACCGTACTTCAAAAACCAGTATCCACCGTACAGTCTACAGTATTTACCGTACTTGTTTTACAAAATATTTCCCTAGTCTTTTTAAAAGTATTTCCGTTCTTTCGTACAGTCCATGCCGTAGGAAGGACCAGATTTGGTCCCAACAAAGGCCGCTTCCAAGAATTGTCCACATCAGGATCTTGAAAAAAGGGGGTCGACCGACTGAAAAATTTGATCGCACCTTTCGATAGGTCTCGTCAAGACCTTTTCAACGAGTGGTCGGAAGGGGGGTCCAGGAGTCCGACTTCAGCAGTTGCGTGCATCAGGAACTTGGAAAAAGATGGTCAACCGACTAAACAAAATTATAGCAGTTTTTGATAGGTACTAAAAGTACGGGATCGCCGGGTAAAAAAGTACGGGATTCCCTGTAAAAAAGGACGGTGTTGCCTGTAGAAAAAAGTACGGCATTGCCTGTGAAAAAAAACCACGGTATTGCCTGTCAAAAAACGTACGGTGAAGTCTGGAGTAATCAGTACAGGATTTACCGTGATCTTTTCTCGCAGTGTAGGAAACTGAGTAATTAATTCTCAAACCAAAGAACCGCCAACCCTTTGGTATCTCCGTTTTGGCTCAAACTGTGGACCCTAAGCAATTTGGGTTAGAGAGGCTTGAAAAATATTTTCAGGACCCCAGGTATTACCCAAGGCCTACAGTGTAACATGGCTATTTTGTGACGCATAAACGAATAAAAGTGAATTGGTGATTTGAAAGTCAAGTTGAAGTCAGAGGCACTAGGGAACAATTTTTGTACCTCAAACAACAAGGCAAAGTGACAAATCCAGAAAACAGCATATTTCTAGCCCAATTTCTTCCAAAAAAATTAAGTTTAAATATAGTAAAACAAAATTGACCGCAGTTACCTTCGTTCACACCAGAATGACGGGTCTAAAGGTTGTCTGTGCGAAATCTCGCCCAAATCGGATAAAAATTGCGGTCTGTATAACGCAAACCGTGTCAATTCGGATGAAAGTATTGGCGGTTTCGTTGATATGAGAAATATTGACTCTCTTTTCTTTGCAGGCTTGTAAGATTACCCCACGTGGAATCATTCTAACGCGATTTGCGTCTCGGCCCTCTTACTCACCATAACAGGGGGCAGCAGACGTAGGTGGTACTTCCCGTTGTTTCCCATGGAACAGGAGTGAGTCTGACCCGTGCGGTCCCACTTCACGCTCACTTGGGTGGAGGACACTTTTGCAACGACTGTGCCGGGCCCGGGAGGAGTGCCGTCGGCTTTGGCACCTTCCGGCCAGTCCCTGCCACGCGCCACCCTGGAGCCCGCCACCATCACGGCTGCCATCTCCTCCACTGTCATCTCACGATCTTCTCTGTTGGAGCGCTCTTGCCAGAGTGGGGCTACAAGACAGAGAGAGGCTTTAGACAGAGGAGGCACTACAAATCCGAAGGTCCGACTTCTCACCACTCCAGAGGCGAGACGTAAAGGGCCTGTAGAGCCGCGCGTGAGAGCGTGCGTGCGGACCCGCCTGGACGAGAGCGTCGATCGCAGCGATCTGCGGAGCGGACAACGCCGGGAGCCCCCCTCTACAACCCCCCCCCCCCTTCCCACTCCCCCCAGCTCCTAAGCTAAACATGACTCCGCCCGCCGACACTCGTCAAATGCGTGGCATGCGTAGTGCCGTACAACGATACAGTGCAGTGTTCAACGATTTACATAGCAATGGGTCAGTTAATTTTATTGTGAACTGTATCAGTAACTTAAAGCACACGTCTCCTTTCTTTGAATAGCATCATTCCCTTGGGAGCACAGGCAACCAACTATATTATATACATATACATAGACCGCCTGTTCCACTCTCATTCCAGGAACAAGACATCACGTTGAAACGAACGTGACGTGAATCAGCCAAAAATGAGCTTGTTCACATTTAAGCGAACGTGACACAATGCTCAAATGAACGTGACATTTTGTCACGTTCGCTTTAACGTGATGTCACGTTCCTGGAGTGAGAGTGTCCGTGAAAAAACCGGGAGGCTATGTCTTACGCCGCTCCCTGATTGGTCGGAATACTTCACGCTCGAATTTTAAGATTTAAAATTTAATGAATGTAAATTGTGACTGAACTATTCGGTTAAGCCGGCTCAAATCTACCAATCTACCGTCTGGTTTTTATTTACGCGCCTTAGTATTGATACAAAGTGCTCCACACTGTTGAAACAGCGGCACATTACAAGGAAAAAGGTACGGCTGGACCGTACCTCACGGTGTACAGTACAACCGTATCCAAAATCCGTGCTTACCATAAGAGCCCATGTTATGAAAATCAGGAGGAAGTCTAAAACTGGCCTCGAGTTTGAATCGATTGTATCAAGTTACAATTCTCATCTGAAGGAATCTAACACAATTTCAGTTGAGGTAGGCTAATGCAACATAGCTCTTTTGATATCTATCCTTTGATTTGGACTGTTTTAATTTTGATTTGTTTCCAGTTTGTCTCAGCAGAAGTAGCGCAAGAAATTTAATCATGTCTTGTTATGAAGTTCTTTAATTCAACAATAACATTTGAGAGTCTTGATAGAACGTGCCCATCAAATGCAGACGCCTCACCAATCTTCAGATCGAATACGAACATGGACGAAGATTTTGAGGAATTCGATGCTGACCTCCACCTGGAGGAGACTGTAACTTCCGAGGATGCCGATTATCTTCCCAAAACTATTGAGGATGCCGATTATCTTCTCACAACTTTTGAGGGTGCCGCTTATCTTCCCCCAAGCCCAATCTCTATGCAGGATTGTGCTGACGGCAACAATGAATTGTCCAATTTAGGCAGCCTAAATTATGTCCAGGACAACGACATAGTTCCCAACGACATAGTTCCCAATGCTTCGTGTCCTACAGTGGATGAAGGAGTCACTCCAGCAACCTGTATTGTCAACCGTGAAAATTTACTTGTTCTACTGATGACTGTGCCGGAAGACATAGAAGAGGTATTGTCTGCACTTTCTCATAATTTTCACTGAAAACCTACTTCTCAAATATTACATTTTTTTTCTTTGCAGGATTTCCTGGGGCCATTCATTGATGCTGCTATGGAGGATGTTGGTTTGGGTGTTGAGTCAACTGTAATATCCTGTAAACCAATGCAGGATTGCACTTTTATCCTTGAAGTGGGTACTATAAGCAAACACTGTTAAAAATAATCGTAAATTTACGACATTTTGTAGAACAATTATGCCGTTTTAAAACGACATATTTTGTTACGACTCAAGTCGTAAACATACGACTTGAGTCGTAAATGTACGACAGATTTGTCGCTAATTTTGATAGCGACACGTTTCGTTTTCAAACGAATTAAGTCGTAAATTTACGACTTAATCGTAAGTTTACGAACAATCGTAAATTATCTTTGGAACATGTCGTGCAGTTATGACTTAAGTCATTCATTTACGACTCTTGTCGTAAATTTGCGTTATGAATCGTAAATGAACGACGCAAATCGTAAATAAGTGAGCAAAATTGTAACTTTTCACCAACTTTCCGGGGATTTCAGGTGTCAAAATATGTAATTGCGATTACGACATTGTCGTAGAGAAATGATTTTTTAGTCGTTCAGTTACGACGAAGTAGTTTCAGAACGATTTCCGTCGCTATGAAAATTAGCGACTTTTTTGTCGCTAATTTACGACAGAATTTCTAACAGTGAAGTGTTTAGTTTTAAAAAAAAAGCGGGCACACCTTCTTAAAATATTTGTGGCTTTTTTTTCCAGTTTGCAACCCAAGATAGTGCCCAAAAAGCTTTAGAGCTGGATGGGCTTGATGGCACAGCTTTGAGATTCAAATCTGTCAACTGATGACGACTTGCGCACCATCATGGTACAAAATGTGCCCATCCTGAAAGAGGAAGTGTCCAAGAACGTGATCGATGGAACGTTCCCCGTCCTTTCAGGCACGTGAATTAGGCAGGTCAAGAGTACCTCAGCTGCGCCGCCCCCAATCCGAAAATGAAGCACGCAATGATGTGCTTCTACAATTTGTCCAGGCAATGAACCGTCGAAATGATAAACTAGAGAGGCAAGGCACAGCTTCCTAGATATTAAGATTAGCGTGTATGTGCGTTGACTTTGAATTACTTCTCTCTCATGACTTGACCCTCTCTTTTGGTGAAGTCACATTTGTTTTGCTTCAACTGTCTTGACTAAAGTTAGTGGAAAACTTAAGATTTGTTTAATTTTTTTTTCATTTGATTTTTTGATGGAATTAGTCTGTTTTGATTAAGTATATTCACTGTTTTCCTCTCTTGTATATAATATTATTGCTGTGGAACAATGTATGTAGAGACACTGCTTAAGAAAAGAAGTAAGGGGCCAAGCAAATTAGGTTAAGTGTCGCTCTAATGATTTTCCTGTGTTTTCATATTACTGAAGTACGAAAGTATTTTTGTCACTCATCTTCGCTACATCATATTAGTTTTTCACGCCTACACTGCAAACCCAAGTGTAGGACAGGTCGACACTTTGAGGCGTAGACCAGTTTGTCCTACGCTTGCAAGTGTCGACCACTTGTGTCCGACGCTTTGAAGTGTCGACCACTCAGTACCGACGCCTCATGGGCCTTCAAGCTTCGTGGAAACTTGGAGAGAACAGATGCCCCATATTTTTCAACATGAAAGTTATGATGGTACATCACAGAAGGGCTTAAATGCTTACATAGAGAGCAATAAAATTGTATCAACGCATGAAGTGCTCAAAAGGAAAAACTAACAATAACATATTTATCATAGATTTGGGTCCCAACTTACGAAAACAAATTTAATTGCAGATGTGAAGAACATCACACACAGCTGCAAATTGTTTTATTAGCAGAGTTTATTTGTAAAGTGTAAATGAATTGATCCTTCGCAAACGAATGCCTTTCTTTGAACAATTTTTGAAGTACTGTAAACTGGGGCTACCTGAGACTCACTTAAAACAACAAAACATGTCACTTAGAAAGCTATCACAAAAGCCAATGTGTTTTTTCGTGTTGATACTATTTTTATTTTTAGACGTATAATAAAACAAGAAAACAGTAATCAAATGTAACTACAATTAGAGCAGGCAAAGTCTCGTGTAACCCCTGCTGTCTCAAGTTATCCCAGTTTATGGTAACCTTACAAAGTTTCTTTGCAGTGCAAACGTCTTCTATTCTTTGAAACTTCTCTGCAAACTTAAGTGTGTACGCAGTACACTCGTTATTAGAGCATGCTTCCAAGTACACTCTTATTTACAGCATACTTGCAAGGCACACGCTAAATAAGAGTGTACCTTTCAAGTACACGCTAAAATACACTCGATTAGTTTTTGGCTGAGCGATAGCGAAGCCTGTTACTCCAGTGGGTTTGAAAAATTTTTCCTGTCTGTCTGTCTGTCTGTCTGTCTGTGTGTGTGTCTGTGTGTCCGCACTACTCCTCCTGAACGGCTCGGCCGATCTCGGTGAGATTTTGCACACTTTTTGGGCATGTCCTTTGCTCAGCACACGCGAAATCTCACCATCCTAGCTAAACTGGTTTAGTTTTTATAGCCAAAAAAACACTTTAAAAACGGCAAAAAAATCGAGTTTTCCGTAGGCAGATCGCATCTGTCGTGATAAAAGGGGGTCGGGGGGGCAGACCCCCCCAGCCTGGACAAGGGGAAAAGTTAAAAGGGGTCAAGATCGAGTTATCTGGAGATGAAGAAACCTTTTTCTAGAATAAAGGGGGTCTGGGGGCCGACCCCCCCGCACGCAACAAGTTGGGAAAAATCGACGATGGAGATGGGAAGCCATTGCCTGCCGAAGGCAGGCTAGCGCCGCAGGCCAAGGTAGGTACGCCGGGCGCGGATTGGGAAACGGGCCCGCGAGACATCGCGAAGCCTGTTACGACAAGATAGACCGGGAAATATTGCTGAGAACTGCATGTCGAGAGGCGATTTGTGCTACAAACTGGCAACAGGCGGTTCTAGACTCATTCGACCCCGCTAAAAACGATGCGCCATGTTGCCAAGCTCGATTTTTGCTTTTAAAGCCCCGAAATTCAAGATGGCGCCCAAAAATGGCCCCCAAAAAAGCTTGTTTTTCTAAAATATCGAGGTACGCACAAGTGTCGCTGTTTTTTTTTAAGAAAAGGGGGTAAAATAATATTGGTACATATTCTGTAACCTTTTCCCAACCATCTGCACATTTTTCAGGGGCCCAAATGCCACGATGGCGTACGAAAACGTCAAAATACACCAAATATCCGTTTTTTGAAAGGGTTTTGTCCTCCTTTTGCTCGTGATTCACGTCCAATGGCAGTTCTTTTCAATCTTCGTAAATTTCCACGCTTTGGGAATATAAGTGGTCTAATGTGGAAGGGTTTAGTTGCTAAGATGGCGTCCGA